TTACAATTTTAAAGCTTGTATTAATTTTCCTTTTTTTTTTTTTTTCTTTTCCTTTTTTTTGTTTTTTTTTTTTTTTTTTTTTTTTTTTTTTGTTTTTTTTTTTTTTTTTTTTTGGTCTATGTTTATTCATTTGTTTGTATGTGATTGATACATTACCATTGCCTTCGCGACCCTGCCCGGCTCCCCCTTTTTTTTTTTTATTTTTTTTTTACATCATGACGAACGGGCCGCACACACGATTCCAGGTATAAAGTTGTTGTGGGGCCCGGTCGTTATGTATTTGCTGCTTTTAGGTGATTCTTCTTTTTTTTTTTTTTTTTTTTGATTATTGTGAGTATGCTCTGATGAGAATGTGAGCTATCATTAAAGGGTGTGCCCGGATATATCTGTAAAATGTGTCTGAATCCCACCGTCCTATTTTCTGTATCATTACTAGCTGCACTCCACGGATCACTAGTTCAGTCGTCCCACCTGCCCTAAAGCTGTGTCCCGTGACATTGGAATGTGGTAGTATTGCTTTTAGTTTTTTGCAGAACCATCTTTTGGTGGACCACGATCCGTTGTGTCTGATGAATAGTGATTCGTTTCTTGGTGCGTATGACCCACATGTATGTCGGATAGTGTATGCTTTAAGTGCTTGAATCGGACATAGGTCGTCTGCTGTTGGGTTAATAATTAGAGATACCCTGTTAGCCGATTTGTGGTTTTTTGTTCTGGTAAGTTGGATCGTCGCAAATGTTTTGGCTCCGATTTTTTCGAATCTTAGTGCCCTTATGCTAGGTATTTTGGTTTTATCTGTTTTGTCATTGGGGATAAGTTCTCCAAGGCGTGCCAAGCCGTAGAATGCCGCCAATGCCACTGTCCAGAACAGTAAGTCATCTGGATTTTTCAAGTCTAAGCTACGTTTTATGTGGCGCAGGTGGGCCCTGGTGATATGCATCTTCTGTCGTACTGGGGTGTGCCGGTGGTTCGCTTCTATGGTTTTAAGTATCTGCTTTACCAAAGGATCTTCTCTAACCGAAGTCCAGTCATATGAGTTAATTGTGTGGTAGTTTTTTAACGCTGACAAATATGATCTAATTGTTGGGGGAGTAACGCGATTGTATAACATCTTGATGAATTTTATTAGCACATCTTTTGGTATGGGCCATACTTTGCCATCTTTGTTGAACCATTGGTTTGTTCTGGCTAGTGTTTGGTACCTTCTTACGATCGATTCGTATGTTTTTTGTCTTTGGGGGTCGAGTTTCAGGATATTTGCTGCTTGTTTATCCAGTGATGCTTTGTTGCTGTTTCATTCGGTTTTGTGGTTGGTTGGTTCGTGTGATCCTACTGTGTTAGGGATGGAAGAGTGGAAATTTTGTTAGTGTAATCAGGTGGGACTTTGGGTTGGAGGTAGCGTGCTAGGGGTTTTTTCCTTATGTATTCTTTGTGCCTACTCCGAGATAATAGATCTGCATCTGTGTTGAGCTTGCCGGGTATATGTTCTAGCTTAATTGAGAAATTGTTCCTGACTTGAATCTGATACATTTAAGCTATGATTTCATTTATTTTTATGTTTTTGCAAAATCCGGAATAAAATGCCTCCGCATTTGCAAGGTTATCTATCCATATTATTAGTTTTTTCCTGGTCCATAGGGGCGAAAAGGTGCGAATGGCTATTAATGTTGTCAGCATTTCCCGTTCCTGAATGTCTTGATGCGTTGCCGTCATGAAATCTGACTATGTGAATGCTGTGAAGTACCCCTCAAATGTTGCCCCGGCTCCGATGTTAGATGCATCCGTATATAGGTTGTTTATGTTGGGCTGCTGCCATTCCTGATCCTCCATGAGGTAGGTCCCAGGCCACTGCTCTATTATACTATGCCACCACATGATGTCAGCTACCATGAGGTTGGTTATTCTAATGTGGTGTTTCGGATGTTTCGATATTTTCTGAGCCTTTATCAGGCATTGCACGAATGGTCTACCTTGGGGTAACACTTGGCATAACCACATTAGCAAGCCTACCAGTGATTGGAGCTCTTTTTTGTAACCCCATTTCCTCGAAGTCTATACGGATAACAGCTCCTTAATTTTTTGTTTTTTGTTTGGTGGGATTGATACTGACATTCTTTCAGTGTTTATTAATATGCCAAGAAATGTGATTTTTGTGTCTGGACCTTCTAGTTTCGACTCTTTAAATGGTACATTGATTATGTTTAATATCTGAAGAAACTGTTGGAGTTCTTTCTTACCATCGGATTTTGAAATAATCAAAAAATCGTCTACGTAGTGTATTATCGATTTTATACCCTAATTTGATGCTATCTATGTAACTGCGTCTGCGAACCTACAAAAAATACTACCTGACGCTTTGTTTCCGAAGGCTAGTGCTTTGTCAAAGTATAATTTCTCTTTGTACTCCATACCTTGTAGGACTTGATCGACAGGGTGTACAGGTAATATTCGGTAAGCATCTTTTATGTCTATTTTTGACAAAGTACATCCTCTGCCGTATAGATTGATCCACCTTATTGCGTGGTTCACATTCTCGTACTTTGTTGCAAATTCTAAACTATCAATTCCATCATTTATGCTTGATCCGAAGGGAGCAGACAGGTGGGATATAACCCTGTATACTTTGGTGTTTGTCCCCTTTTTTTCGACTAGACCACATGGGTTAATCTGGTATAAATCACATGGTGGTAGTTCTTCAGTAAAGGGGCTGCATATGTGGCCTTTACTTATCTCTTCTTGTATGTATTTCTCAAGAGCCGTAGGTTCAAGGTCGATAGATTTGAGGTTTGGTTGGACTAACTTTGTCCGTGGCCCTGTAAAATTAAATCTGAAACCCTTTGTAATGCTCTTTATCAAATACTCTATGAAGGGTCGATTGGGGTGTTGGTTCGTCAGTGCCCTAAATGCGTGCATGTTGATTGTAGTCTGTACATTAAACTGATCGGGGTTAAGCTGTAGACTTATTCTTATCTCATTCTCTGTGAATGGCAGTTCTCTTGGTGGAATGCTACTAAGAGTCTCATTGATCGATTGTAGAACTGGTGGTTCGGATGAAGTCATGTGTCTTGAAAGTTTATATTGGGCCTCGTGGCGGAGGTTTTTGATTTGCCTATTGTCTGTATAGATATGTTGTTAGTTTCCGGTTCTCTCTCTTTTTTTTTTTTTTTTTTTTGCTCTATATGTTTTGCTGCCATTATTGTTATTATGTTGTTTGTTCTTTCTCTCTCTCTCTTTTTTTTTTTTTTTTTTAATCTATATGTATATATGTATATATCCTTAGATCTTAGGTTGGCTATCAGCTTGGCTATTGCCTCTGGCTGCTGAGTTTGATCCAGTGTTGCCCACGAAACATTTGCGCTCTGTATGTCCCATCTTTTTGCATGTTAAGCATGCGTGAACACGGCTACATTTCTTGTCTTCACCGCAGTATCTCCGATTCCAGTTTATGCATATTTCTCTGCCATCATGCCAGGTTAGTTCAGTCTTGTGTATTCGTGGTTTGCTAATTTTAAACTTCTTTGTTGTTGTTATGTCGAAGTTCTCTCCTTCGGCTTCGATGTTCTGATCGAATAATGTTGATTCACGCTCCATTGTCAGCGCTAGTCGCCGATCTTCCTCGTACACCATTACTGCGGTAAATTCGTATTTGGTGCAAAGGGTGCTTATGTGGTCACGATAGAAATTCAATTCACGCTCTCTGTCCTCATATATAATCAGGATTGCCTCCATGTATGACCTAAATGCTAATAGCCATTCAGATATATCGCTAAATTTGCTGTATGTGTTCCGTTTACAGACAGATATGAGCCCCCTTTCGACTATTTGTATTGGAGTTTCATCTTGGTGGAACTTTATGTTAGTTTTCAGGTTTTTATAGGCAAATTCCTGAAGATTCACATATGAACCGAATGCTATTGATTTCCATATTCGTGTTTCAGGTTTGGTTTTTGTGCTAGCATTTCAATTATTTTCTGGCCTTCGGTCCAATTTGTGACCCACCAAAGCCTTATGCTTTCGATTTTGGTTGCTAGAGGGTTTGAGAAACCTTCTACTACTGGCATTTGTTTGACTGTACTGTAATTTATTGCCGGAAACTTGTGGCCGCCTTTCTTACTTAGTGATGGTTTGTTTGGCTGCTTCTGATTTTCATTATCTTGTAGGTTGCTCAGATCATTCATGATTTGCATTGGGGTTGCATTCGTTAATATGTTGTTGAAAATTGGAGTAGGAGGGTAATTACCTTGGTGTAATTCATCTTTTGCGTCTGTTGCGGGGCTTATCGTTGCTGATGATGTGTCGTGAGCTTGGTTCTCATCTGTGTGTTGGTTGTCTCCGGGTCATCCTTCTGTGTTGGCCCAGTTTATTTGTTCAAGTTGATTAAAGCGGTTGTCTATTGTTAGCTGAAGTTGTTCGTTCCAGCGTTTTTAGTTTTCCGCTTGTTGTTTATCAGTTCTTTTACTTTATCCACGATCGTTGATATAGTCTTCTGGTTCGCGTTATTGATATACGCCTTTATTTGGGGGTCGATTTTGGTTGTTACATTATGTTCAGCTGATATTATTTTTATTATTATTATTGTTATTATTATTATTCTTTTTTTTTTTTTTCTTTTTGGTTTGGTTTTTTTTTTTTTTTTTTTTCTTTTGGCGAGAACCTTCACTCTGACAATTTGACCCAAGGATCTTGGCTCTCTTTGTTCATTATTTATACATACCTGCGGTTTTTGACCTTTACACCAGACATATGTAATTTCTCATTGTCATCCGTATTCGTTTAGATCTTCCCACGCCTTGAACTCTTTTGGTCGTTGGCTCCCTATTCTCACATGCTTTCACCTGTGAAGGCTGTGGCTGTAGAATCGTGTGGCTTGCTCTTCTTTCGATCACGTGATCTACCATCACTTCGCATGATTTGTACCAGGTGCATTTTAAGGTCATCAGATGCGGTATTTTCAGTTTTTACTGGTATTAGCAAGAATATGGAAGAACGAAATACAAAAATACGGTAATACTTACAAGTGACCCTCCATATAATAACCCTCCTCAATACGGCATTTTATGGTACTAATCATTATTACTAAAAAGTATAATTTTTTTTTTTTTTTTTTTAACAAAAAAATTTTTATGGATACTTATGTGCTTTTGTTATTACTTGTCTCTCGTGTTTTTTTTTTGCCATCCAACTTATTTTTATTATGAAAAAAAATAAAGGTCCCTGTTCTATACAAAATTGTAATAGAAATTCTACTCTTTTTTGAAAAATTACTTCTATTGCATATAATAAAGCACAAAATAAAGGAACATTAGAGCAATATGGTGATCTAAAAATCGGGCAAGAAATATGCTATAGTCACTATTTAGATATAGTAGAACCCGATCGTAATACAAACAAAAAAAAACCCCTGGTTGAAATAAAAGAAATGAACGTTAATGATAAACCAGTCGCATATTGTAATACCCAAAAGTCTTCTTCCAACAATGGTCTCATATTTGCAGATCAGGTTCAAATCCTAATGAAAGTTCTTTATCAATTGCAACGGGATAGACCCAGTTTTATCGAACTTAGCCCCGTTCGTTTTCAATTAATGATAGAAAATGCTGATGCTCATTTGCATGGGTTTTTTGATCAAATGGTTAAGGCTTTAATTCCCAATGAAAGATCTGCATACAAAAAAATAGAAGCAA